TGGGCTCAGGCAAGGCATAAACATGTTGGATAGGCAGGGGGGTGCCACCATCCCTTTCCAGAAGAAAGTCCCCGACTACTGTTACCTGTCACTTTCTCTCAGCCTCCCTGGCTCCGACAGCATGGCTAAATGCATCCCCCGACAAAACTCACTCCCTGTCTTGTCAGAGCTCTACAGTTCTCTTGTTAAGCAACTGCAACTGTAGAAAAAGCTTTCTTTTTTCCTCCATGGGAATCCCAGCCCTCCCCTGGTTAAACATTGCCTCTGGCCTTCCTCTCCTCCCATGCACCAGGAGGTTGGGTCCTGTTGTCATTCCTGGTGCCATCCAGCCTGCTTCACCTGGCAGCTCAGTGGCCTGACCAGAGCACAGCTCCTGCAGGTGACACTGCTGTCAGCCCTCAGCCTCTGGGAAGCTCCAGGCACTCCCTGCAGCCAGCATCTGGACAGGACCATCTTCCCCAGGACTGGCTCTGGGTTGAGGTCTCCAGTATGCTGTGGTAGTTGCTCTGGATAGTGCTAAGGACTGTGTCTTGCAGCTTGTCACCATCATCACCATGTCCTCTACTGGTCTCAAGCACCATCTACAGCCTTACTGTTCACCCTCTCCCACCAACTCCTTCCTGTTTGCACAAGCTGGTCACAGTGGTCCTTAGGTGTTAAGAAAGAAGATGAACGCGAGCCTGCCCTGCTCCCTCTACTCGGCAGGCAGCTTCTCGATCTCCCAGCTCTTCGCTGCATTCCTCCCACCTTATGAGTGCCGGCTCCCCGGCAGGCTGCCACCTCACACACCACGCGCTGACCAGGACACAGAAGCCTGACACACACCTGCTTCACTCCCATTATATATCTTGCTCAGCGTGCAACTCCTCATCTCCTCATAGATGCTTTTTGTCTCCAGCTGCAGTTCATAAGCACCAAGTCTGCATTTTTTCTCCTGCACTGTGCTTACAAAGCTTTAAAAAGCTTTTTTTTTTTTTTGGAGGAGCTTACAAAGCATACTGTTCCCCTAGGCTGAATGACACACTTAGACAAAAAACCTCAACACTAAAAGCAAACATTTAGTTCATTGAACAAAGCAAGTGTTCCTTGAAATAACCTTCTAATTATACGCTCAACGTTATTGTGATCTCTCTTCTGTTCCTCACCTACTGTACCAAGACAATGCTTGAAGACTGCACTAGTAAAAAACAAAGTTCCATCCTCTTCCTGTACTTAAAGGCTCGCTATTCATTTATTGACCATTTCCCCCCCCCGAAAGGTACAGTGGACTAAGCTGACTGAGGCCATTCATTTCAAGGCTTGGGAGAGAATAGTTTGTGGCACTTCTTTGAACAGCAAGGCATATACCCATAATTTGCCCTCTGAAATATTAAAAAGATGGATTATTTGGAAAGTTACACAAGAAATTTAGAACTGCAATTGACTTGAAAGACATTACAGATATATTCCAAAGAAGTGACATATTGTACAAGCAAGGACAGCTAAATGTATTTTTCCTATTATCCCATATCGGGGGGAAAAAAAAAAGTCATAGCAGTGACAAATTTTAGTACCCCAGCAGCCCAAAAGCAGAAATTGCATGCTAGGGGTCATTGGCCTTTGCGTTGTTTTTTTCTTCTCCTTTGCCATTTTTATTAGGAGAATTTAGTACTGTTCATGATAGATAAACAAAGGAACCGACGCTTTTTGATGTTCATCACAGTTCTGTCAGAGGTTCAATCTTTGGGTAACTCAATAACCTTGAATAGGCCAGTTCCTACGTTTTTTGTTTTGTTTGTTTTTTTTTTAAGAAATCAAGACAGTTGCATTGCAAGTTATGTTTCTGCAATACTGCATTTGTTATAGCTAGTCTGTAAAGGATTTAGCTTCAAGATGAACAAGATCACTTACAAATCTGTACCAAAACTGCATCTCTTACTATTCAGTTTAACTTCTCTTGGCTGTACCTTACCAGGAAAATGTCAAACCAAAAAAAGACGCAACTGGCATCTCCCAAAATGAACACAAAGCACTGTAGTCATCTTGCTGAGATTTAATTCCTGCTGCCCAGACAATGCTACAACTAGAAGTTTGTTAGCTTTTATCTACAACTGAACTGAAATATTCACGGATGCATTCTTCCTGAAGAGAAAGCTGGGCTTTGCGGAAAGTAATTCATCAATAAAAATTACTATGCTAAAAAGCTAACAAAGAAGTAAACCCCTTCATCATCATCACCCAATCACCCTGTCAGTTCAGAAGTGTTTTAGGTTGCCCCAAGAGCTAGTTATATTGTCTAAATAAGGACTATATTGTCAAAACAGTCTAAAGCTGAGAGTGGTATTATTACAGTTGGTGAAAACATCACTTATGAGGAAGTGTTTGATCAAATGCGATGTAGTTTCTCATTTTGCTTAAAAAAAAAAAGTAAGAAAAAGAAAAAAGTGGAATACAGTAATTTCTTTTATAACCCATCCTCATTACCATAGCCATATTAATGCCATGGAACTGTCAACCATAGTTTAGTCTTTATTTTTTTTTTTTTACTTCTGTAAATCACAGGATTTGTTAAACAAATTACAGAGTCTGAGTGCTTAACAAAAATGCACATTTCTAATCAGAGCTAGTTAGTATAGAACTGCACAGACCAGTCCTAACGGCCCCTCTCAGACACCTCCTTCTCTCTTCACAGAGGTGACTAGGAAAAGGCAGAACCAATGCAGAAGAACACTTCGCAGGAACATTCCCACCTTCTAAGACAGGGCTCTAGTTGTTAATTCTAACAGACTGATGAGGTTGGGTATTCAACTGCATTAGGTTCTTTAGGCAGAAGCCTCATGTAAAATACCAAACAACATGGTTTGAAATGTACAGCAAAATAAACATTCAAGAGAGCTTAGGTTGTCAGTCACATTTAAGTAACAACAACAATGGTAAAGGAGACAAAATTTTGCCAGTCAAGATCAGGTTATTTTTTTTATCCTTTGTTGAATCATAAGCCATCTGACAACTCAGACTGATACCACAGACAACCCAGTAACCCTATTCAGTCTGGTCTTAATGAGAATTTAGGATTCAGCGTCAAGAAGAAACCTGAGCATGTGCACGTTCTCAGCTGCAGACTGGACTAACTCTGAAAAAAACATTTTTCATGAAACCCCCCCGAAAACCCACAGAGCTTACTGAACTTCCTACTTGTTAAGATTTTTGCTTCAAGAAGTCTCAAAATTAAAATTTCGCCAGCACAATAGCTTTATTTTGCAATTTGAATTATTATACACTATTCAGTAAAAGCCAACAGAAGAACAGTGTGAAGACTTACCACTTTTTGGCATTTCCTTAATTCAGAGCCAGCGTGCAAGGTCTCCAGTTAACCCCCATGGTAACAGAACAACACTTTGCTGTTAACAAAAGTCATGTCAACACATAAAATGTCTAACTACTTATTTAAAAGGCCACATCTTCAAATGCAATTAGAAATAATTTAATAAAGTATTTGCTTGTTTTGGTATGATAAATTGCCACATATCCTACAACTAACAGGTAATGGAATATCATGTTTTCCCAAGACATATAAAAAAGCAAACAACACTGTCTCTACATTATTCCATACACCTTAAAAACAAATGCAAGAAACAAATTGTTCCCAGGTATTCAAGTGGAATTTTATTTCCTTCAGACATGCTGTTGCTCTTTTTTAAAAAAAAAAAAAAAGCGCGCCCAAACCAAACTTTTCGGACAGTATCTTGAGGCACAGGTTCCCCCATACTTTAAGGAATTTTTACACAGGATGTATCATATGTTACAACATTGTTGCTACTTGAAGTCTATGGCACATTGATTTTTGGGGTAAAAAAAATAATAAAATCTTCTCTGTGCTCAGCTGCTACAATATGGCACAAAGTTAGACATTAACATCATGACTAAATATTCTGATGCTTTTTTGCTGGCTATTTTGGGGTGCACATAAATAAAAGGCACACTTTTCCTCTCTCCTCTCAAATCATTTATGTACTGTACAAGCCCAACTTCCCAGCACTGCTCCATGCCTGCTGGCCCAGTGCAAAAAAAGATTTAAGTCAGCATCCAATGCTAGCAGCAGCTCTATATGCTTAACTAATGGCTTTAGCTTAGCATGCTACTTCTGCTCTGATGACCATTGACGAGAGGCCAACAGCGTTCCTGAAAAAAATTACAAAGCCTAAAAAAAAATTAAGTTGTTTATATTCACTTACATGTATATTTTCCAAATGTGTTCACAATTTTCAAAAAGTGCACATTTTGAAGTCTTGTTTCAGTATTACAAATGTCCATGACCTATATATTATAGCAGCGCCATGTACAACAGTATCATTAAAGAACTGTCAATGTTTCCATTACTGACCCTGTTTTACAAGAGTATATTAAAAATACAAGAATTTGCTCTTAGCTAGAACTTAGTGTCCATAACGTCTTCGGTATGGTATTTTTAAATATTTGGATTTAATTCTATACAGCAGTCAGAATCTGAAAAACAGAAGGTTAGTGGTTTCACTTTTTGGCGCTCATTTTTACATAACAAGGATTTTCAAGAATGAAAGTGAGCTTACAGCACATGAAGAGCCCTCAATAATAAAAGCTCCACAAACCATTACCACACTGTTAAAAACTTAACAATAATCAATAAGATTTAATTAACAATTTACGGATCCTTACAAAATTACTTCTCGTGATTTAACAACAGATAACATCAATGAAATTATCATATATAAAAGCAGCTTAGGTCTTAACATCAATGGTCTGACAAACATATTTAAACGAGAATATTCAGAGTTAAGACTAGTGCTAAATTTAGCTCCTCAATTTAGCTAAATTTAGATTTGAGAATTTAGATGCTTTCAATTTGATATGCCTTTAAAAAAAAAAAGTCCAACTTTCAGAAGAGTCTGAAAAACAGCAATTTCAAGTAAGTTTGGAGCAATTAGGTATTGTGGCTAGAGTTACCATAAATATATGTACTACATGCTGACTTGACAAAGTTGTGTTAAAAGAAGTGCGAGTTGAACCACTACCTCTGACAGTTCTTGCTTTGGTTATCTTCAAAAAAGATTCAGACTGTTAGCGTAACAGTGCAAGTTCATTATAAAGCCACGTGCCTCTCTGTAGATGTTCTCTTATCAGTTGGTTTTTATTATGCCCACTGCCAGCAATGGACATTCTGCTCGGAAAATCCATCTTCTGCTGTAAAATGTTTGGCTGAACCAGATGAAGAAAATAATTCTGATATCAGACTCAAAAGGGAACGCACTATTTCATTTAGTTCTTGTTAAGAATATTTAAAAGCCTTCTCCACCTACAGTCTTTTTGAAACACAAGGCACAAATAGGGAGTGGACATTCCAGCAAAAAGTGATTGTCTGAAATTAACAGTCCACAGCAGTCTTCTAGTCCAGCACAATGAAACATTTTTGCTGTCCAATTCTATGCCACGTCTTCTAGGTAATCTGCAACATCACTTAACTGAGAAATGGTAAGGTCTTGCGTGATGCCTTCAAGCTAGAAAATAAATGAAATCACAAACTCAGAAATCATAGAAACAGTAAGTACTATTTCTTGTAGTCCTTCACATAGCATCCCATCCTTTTGGCCTCAAGCTCTTTCAGTGAGATTTCATACTTCATACTGTGCTCAGACAGATTTTGAGACATAGAGAGAAGACATTTCTATGCCGGATACTAAGCCAGTCTCAAATAAATTTTACATGCCTAAAAACAGACAGTGAATTGGGCTACCAAACAATTGTTGTGGGGTTTTTGCTTAGTTTTTTAATCAGTATAGTATTGAACTTGGCAGGAATACCAGGTGTAAATATACAGAATATAACAAATAATACAACCTTATCATGTATCCTAGGAATCTATGATAATGGCATATTCCTTCAAAGAAGGTTAAAAACAAAAAAGGAAAGAGAAGATCAGAATAATGTCAAGAAGAACAATTTTAAAAGAATCATACTTTATCACTAGCATTTGACTCTTCTGTTTCCACGGAAATTTCATCTATTTCTTCACCAATACTGATATCACTTTTTTCTGAGCGATGACTAGTACTAAAGGGAAAGAAAATCATAAATGTAGAAATAAGATTTTTCAAACATCCAGGTACTACATTCACTTTATATCTGACATTTGATTGGGATTTCACTTCCTAGCAAGTTAAATATGAAATTACTTAAAAACCTCTGGGAAGACATTATAGCAGCTTTCCAGTATCTGAAGGGCACCTACAAAGAAGGCTGGAGAGGGACTTTTCTACAAGGGCATGTAGTGATAGGACGAGCGGGAATGGCTTCAAACTGGAAGAAGGTAGATTTAGAATAGGTATTAGGAAGAGATTTTTTACTGTGAGGGTGGTGAGGCACTGGAACAGGTTACCCAGAGAAGCTGTGGAGGCCCCATCCCTGGAGGTGTTCACGGCCAGGCTGGATGGGGCTTTGAGCAACCTGGTCTAGTGGGAGGTGTCCCTGCCCATGGCAGGGGGGTTGGAACTCGATGATCTTCAAGGTCCCTTCCAACTCTAACCGTTCTATGATTCTATGAACCTGTAACAACTAAAAGCTTTCTACCTAGATAGAGCCATGATAAATACCGATAAATATTTAGGCCTCAGTCCTGCAGTTTACAACACCAATACCTCACATCATAAGGAAGAGGCTGTTAAATATTTCTGTTAAGTATTTATTAGTGAGTATTTATGATGCTTTATTTTTTAGCTGAATATTTCAGCATACACCATATTCATTGTCCAATAGCGTTAATTAAAGCGTTGAAACATTGTTAAGCACATGGTTCAGGAAAAAAAAACACCTTCCATAAAACAGCAACAACTTCTCATCACCTTAAAGTTAGCACCAGATTTTTTAAGGAGCTTATTACTCTAGGCACAAAAGGGATCTGTTTTTTGGGGTTTTTTTTTCGTTTGTTTTTTTTTTGTTTTTAATTTGTAACTATATGTATTAAAACAGCAAACTCAAGCTTAAAGGAGTTCAGAGATACTGACAGATTGCAGCACTAGTGACTAGCTGAAATATTATGAAATAATTTAAATATGCTAGTGGACACACTTGTAATGCATGAAATACTATGCTACTGCAATATCATCCTTCTCTTACCTGTTGAAGTCATCAGCATACTCATCGTCATCTCCATTTCCTAAACAAGTTTTAAAAGGTATTAATCAAACGAGTTTTCTCATCAGGAAATGCAAAAAAAGAAACTATTCGTGCTCCAAAATATATCATTCGGTGGCCAGCAAAAATGGGAGTAGATTAAATTACTTGTGCAGATTAGGAAAAGAGGATGAGTTTATGTTTGCCATTTATTAATCTCAATGTGATTTACACAAACTGTTTTCAAATTGAACATGTTTTCAGGATGTTGACTACATCGCTGAACAGAATTTAAATACTTGGCAGCTCTAGTCTGAGAGATGGCTGATACTTCTTATATCACATCATCTTCATATTGCTCCTAAAGCTTACAAGGTAACTTTTAAAGGTGCAGAGGGCAAGTAAATATGTCACTGAAAAACAGTAAGACTTGTCTGGCCATCTTTTTCACAAATATAAACCCCCTCCTTTCTTAGAAACCTAGACAAAATTTATCACTCTGTATTAGCAAATGTATACATGGAATGACTCAAATTTTTGATGCATGTGTAAAATACTAATCCACATACAAGACACCGGTTTTGACTTTTCTGTATTCCTTTAAATCAGATCCTGCTCTTAACTCCAGCAAGTTTCACAGTGATGTTAAATAGAGTGACAGAAGAAGTAAAAGCTGAAGATTTTAGTTCAATATGTGTATTTCAGTTTCTCAGATTCCTCTAAGAAGCCAGGCCAGAACTTACAGTTAAAAATATCAGAGCTTCATCATGTTTAGCGGTTACTTGCCTAATTCTAGTGATCCCAGTTTTGCATTCACCAACCGCAGGTCTTTCAAAACAGAGTTTCTATTCACATCTTTAACAAAACAAAAGCATTTATATCAGAAATTTGACTTGTGACTCTTTAATAAGATCCCACTTAAGCACACCCATCAACCATTTATAACAAGTGTTCTTTTATAACAACTTTACATAATTTTATAGTATAGCATGGTAACATTAGATCAAATTTTTAGGTCTGAGCTCTGCTAACTTTTAAAAACATGAGTAGCAAACAGGAATGACCTCCCAGTATACGGGATCAGGTTTTACAACGCGAAAGCAAATATCCTTAAAGAAATTGTGCAAATAATGTAAGATAACAACACAAAGGAGTAAGTTAATTTAAGTTAAAAACTGAGCAGTAGAATGTTATACAACTGAAAACTGCTTTATATACACAAAGAAAACCCCAGGATTGTAGATAAGTATTTCATGCTCAAAACGTAAGATGTCCCAGTGGTAGCATAATATATCAAAATGAGTATGCGATCATTCAGTGAAAAAAGCATCACTATAAATCACATTACAACCAGAAGGGGGCCACATACTTAACCACATTTGCATCTGAACGTATAGAACATTCACTACATTATGGGAAATATCTCCTACATTCATCAAAACACAAGAACATGTGGAAACTTACTATCAGGCTCCTTTAGTGAAGGTGCGCCAGTCAGGGAGCTTAACCCACTTTTTAGAGGCGGTGCATCAGAAAGGGATGCTAGACCTCCTGCTTTATTAGCTTCAGTTTTCCTGAAACAAACCAAATAAATAGGTACTCCACAGAGCTGTGAAATATGTGTAGGGACTTTCTTTTCTATTATTTACTAAATTGTCAGAAAACTAGAACAGCAATATTTACAGCAAAAAGAGCAAGGGGAAAGAATTATTCATTCTGCAATCTTAAAAGCAGTAGGCAGTTTACTGGCACAAGCATCAAGCAAGACATTGAGTAGGAAAGTCATTTTCTCACCTATGCAAAGACTTCTGCCTGCCTTCTTTCACAGACAGAGCTCCTGCACCTTCATCAGCACTACTATTTTTATCAAGGGGCCTTTCATTATCCCCACACATAAACGCAGCCAAAAGAAGAAAGATTCACATATAAATCAATATTTAAATTAGTTTGTTTTACAACTAAAAGATGATGTCTGACAAAACTATTAATCCTAAGAGCAGTCAGTTCACAGAATGAAAACCTCTCAGTTATTGCAAGATAGATCTCATCACCTGTTAAAGTTCACTTGGCTACTACTTATTCCATTCATATATTTAAATTGTTGAATTCAAATACTACTTGCAAGTACAGGATGAAGAGACACTATTAAAGAAAGATCAGGATTTTCATATTTAGTACTACCAGAACTGTTTGTTACTGTGATTCCATTCCTACTAGCAATGGATGCTTGAATCATTCGTTATATCTATATCACCAAAATATCATGTATACCATCACATATCAAAAAACCTTCAAAATTTTGAACAATGGGTCAGAGACCTAGGGGCAATAAGAGTTTGGATCATCTCTTACCCTGTCCTTAGTAATTGCTTCTTCCCTTCCTCTCTAATGCATCCTTCTCACAGGAACGGGCAAAGCTCCCACAAGGAATTTACCTTTTTGCGAACCAAGTGATGCTGGCACCTCTCCTACTTACTCATCCCTTGGGACTCAGGCACACCAGCACAACATACCACAAAGGAATTTCACCAGAAGAGTATGTTCTTTTTTCTCCTCTAGAGGAGCTGCCAGAAGGGTAGAAGCAAAAGACTCAGCAGAGACAGCTCAGTTACAATTAGTTGCTAGCTCATTTATTATTAACATATTCAGCAAACCTTATTATGGAACATTACTATAACACCTACATCACAGTAACATTATGAGGTACAAATTACTACTTAGTGGCCTGTGACTCTATTACAGACACACATAATTTAGAAATCATTTTTTCTGTAGTGAGTTTCTCTACTAGGAAAAAAATCCTTATTTTACTGAATAATTAAGAGTCTTTTTCTTGGATGCTCTTTTAAAGAAGTCCAGTTTACGCAATTTCAAAGTGAATTTCGCTTCTTGTCATACAAAAATGCTCAAAAAATAAGAGCTTGGTAATTTTTATTATTATCCAGAAGTTTTTCCAGCCTATTCCAGTTTTCCCAATTTATTTAAACCTATTTTATGGCAACACAACCACCTGCTATGATGGTTAGACTTTGGTTAAAGGCTAGTTCAATGAACTCTTGAGTAAGGAGGAGTAAATGCACTCAGATGCAGTTTTAATCTTGACATTTCCAATAAGAAAAAGAAAAGAAATACCATCTTAGAGTTACTTGTAACAGACAATATTTTCCAGAGAAAAATCACTGCTGTTTGGGGAAAAAAAATTCTGCTCCAACTAAATACATCCAACAACAGCTGTGTTATAAATAATCCTTCTCAGAGAGTCCATTAATTTACTAGAAAGAGACCTAGTTTACCTGGCACGATTGCTTTGTGCTGTACCAGAATGATCCCATTCTACCAGTAAGCACCTACTGTCGTGATGATAATAAAAAGTTTATGTTGCTCTGCCCACTATCAACATAGTTGGGGAAAGAAGCCAACATGAGAGAAGCTACTGTCAAACTGACTTGCAAATGCTTCTGCAACCTCTACTAAGCTAGAGCCATTCTCTGATTACTCAAGCACAGGAGAAGAACACCATGAAATGATCTTGGAGCATTTCTCAAGGGATATCTAAACTAGGCTTCAAGATAACTTGACACGTTAACACAAACATAGGTTTTTCAGTTTTATAATAAAGCTGATGTATAGTTCAGTCACTAGTTCTTGTTTCAAATGGAATTTTTCAGTCAGACTCCACAGATGAACAATAAAAAATGCCCTTCAAAAGCACCTGCAAAATCGACACATTCAGAAATAACAACACTTCACTTAAAACATAGAACTGCACGCAAAAGGTGCTGCAATATGAAAAGAAAGACCTCAGCAGTGAGAAAACTTTCCTTATTCTCTCAGGCTGTGCAGCCAGTTTACAGATTCACCAAACTTTCTGTACTCCTTACAAAGCCATAGAGATATCTAAAGCACTATCCCTGTCATTGTCCACTTCCTTTAGTACTGATCATCACTGCAGCTCTGCTGCAAGAAGAAACACCGATGTCTGTTCCTCATACGTGTTCATTCCACCAGAGAAACAGGCTGGGGACATTATATAGTTTAACTGATGCACCTGAAAGTGATACAGGTTTTTCCATTCATGGTACATCCAAGAGATCCCAGATGACACTGTGCATTTCAAAGAGTAGAATCACAGAAACACACATTTCAGAAACAAAATTTTACAGAACAGATCTAAACACTCGCATTTACAAGTGCGAATAATCAAACATCAGCCAGCTCTCAAATGTCTGCAAGCACACTGAGGACAAAATAAGCCTGTATTAAGTAGAACATCCATGTTACTTACCAGCCATAAGTTCTTTCTGGTTTGGGTATAGGATCATCAAAAAAAGAATCTCCCTCTACATCATCTTCATCCACACCTGGATCACTTTTTTCTTTGGTATTTAAGTCTTTGTTTTCTAGTTGAGGATCTAGTTTTGTTTCATTAGGCAGAAAATGAATGCTCCTTTTGCTTGCTTCCCCTGATGAGACACTTGTATCACTTTGAGTAGTTTCAGCAGCCTCGAAAGATAAAGAAAAAAGCCCTCACTGAAAGGTATAAGTATTTATGTCTTATAATACTGTAAGTGGTAGTATAAACACACAACATATAATATACACCAACCATCAGTTTTTAAAAAGTTTGCTTAAATTTATTGGTACTTCTCAGGAATTTATTAAAATCATCAGGAATCACACAAGAGAAAAAAAGTTGCTTTATCATTTTATCAACTTTATTGCTGTTGCCATTAAAAGTTTTTGTTCCATCCCCTGCATTGCTTTGCTATCTAGATCACCTCTATTATAAAAGCAACCAATTTTAAAAGCTGTTGGACGTGAAATAAAGAATTCTACAGACAGACTAATTCTTACCTCCTATCTTTGAATATAGGGGGATTTTTTGTTTTACAGCCTGAAAGTTACATGATGCTTTATTAGTGTTATTTTGCAACTTGTCTATAAATAAATGTTGTTAGTTACAGCCATTGTCTTCAAAAGAAGTCAATTTAAACTCATGCAAATTATTCTAACCCATACTGAATTGTAATCTCTGCAATATAATATTAGTTTTTAAAGCAGCAAGCATAAGACGACTGCCGTTAATAACACTTTCTTCCTCCAAATGCTAAAAACAAAAGTGATACAAACAAGATTCTTTAAAGTACATAACTTTCAGTCTTTGTATCATGCTTAGGGCTCAGTCCTGCAGATACTCAAGAATGCAAGCAATATTCTGTGTGCTAACTTTAAGGTCAAAGTAATACACCTCAAGTCATATCTTTGCAAAACTTAATGGTCCAAAGAACAATATGCAAATCAAGCTGTTGTGAAAATTTTTTAAGCAATAGCATCTTGCTACCTAGCAAGCAATACTGCAATTTTTATCTTGCCCTAGAATTATTAAAACTAAGCCAGTGAAAAGAGCTATTTATTACATTAACTTCCTTCCTGCACACTAATATCTGCAGTTTTGAAACAAAACCAAGAGTATTGTTTAACCCAGATAACCAATATGTAGGCTGCACTGTCCCAAGTATTTCTTTATTAGTCTCTAACTTTCATCCAGAAGGCTGAAGCAGAATTTTCAAACTGTAGGCCATGAAAGTTGAAAAAGGCCTACCAAAGTAATTTTGTTTCAGTAACAGAACCACATTCAATTGCTGGCAGCAGCCCAGTTCTTGTCAGGCAAGAAAAAGTACTTTACTTGTAAGTGGTAGTAACATCAATATTTTAATTTCCTATCCTAGAGGAACAGAATTGTTGTTGAAAATTAAGACCTTAGTTATACTCTGCCTGGAATAAAAGGGAAGTTACAGCTGCTTTTCTCTTCTGGGCCCTGAGGGAGTGAGCTGCTACTATCTCATCTGAGAAACTACAAGCATGACAGCCTTTGCCTGAATTCCTATATCATACAGTTTTGCTGAAGTGAAATAACTACTTTCAAATTGTAGTGATAGGTTAACCATGGCTCAGGGTTCAAGGAGCAAGATGCCTACCTTGCGTTTTCAGACTAATGGTGTTAATAAGATAAGTCAGAGTGTGGTTTCACACTTGCACTTAAACATATGTAATTCTTTGCTGCTGCCAAGAGCTGCGGTCTTGGTCTCTCCTAGCACGCTCCCTTCTATGTTACACGTACTGGTTGTCAGGTTACAGTCAGAGCCAGTTCAGCTCACAGGTTTGCTGAAAAACCACCAAAGAATTTCAAGTTTCAATCGGGAAGCCTAGACTGTTCAGGTAACTTCCATGTTGCTCCAGCCAGGACTGGCTAAAATTTCCTCCTTCTGCATTCTTTTTTTACTCCAAGTACATTGCACAGGCAGAATATTCTCCCATCCTGCCTTTGCCAAGGAGAGAGAGAACCAAGGAAAAAAATATATCTAAGAACTGCAGTCCCATTAAGACATCTACAACTAGTGGAACAATATCAGTGATATTTAATCAGCATTCAGATCCTTTTTAGTGGATTTATTTTGTTTTAAAAGCCAGTGCCAAGCAAGAAGTATCTTCTCCTAAAGCAGGTCTGAAATTATCAGAGTTTCCATTCAAAGGTCAGTTACAGAAATATTAGCTTTTAAGATACTATCAACAAGCACAGCAATTAATAAAGTAACTTAATCTTTAAATGAATTTATTTTCTTTATTTTCAAATTGTATAGTTTTCTAGTTTTGCATGGCAAAAAGCCCTAAAGAACTGGAATACAATGAAGCAGGTCCAAACTGAGCTGTCATTTTTCTTTTCTTTTATCTTTTTCACTCCCTCTGCCAAGCGAATAAACTAACAACAAAATCCATGCAGCATTTCTCAGCTTTCATTAGTGAGTTGAAAAGCTTCTAAGTTATTTTCAATAATCTTGGAAAAAAGCTATTAAAACTTTTTATGTGATCAGATAATCAATAATTTCAAACTTTAGTATTTGCATAAGGGTTGTTTTGCTTTGGTATTGTTTTTTTTTTTTTTGGTGTGATTTGTTTGTTTGTTTTCCCCTCTCTCTACTGGGTGTAGTGGGTAGCTGGTTTCTTGTGGAAAAGAGGCTTAAGAGATCATGCACCTTTCCATGCCCTACACTTCCCCCTAATTCTCAACTTGTTGGTCAGTTCCTGTCAAATGTAAAGAAGTATTAGAGGCCTGGAAGATATTAGTTAATACAGATTTTGTGCTAACAGGAAGCAACAGAGAAAAGAAAGCCACAGGCCCCAACACAAAGACAGTTGTATCCTAACACCTTATCAGTCCCAAGCAGCAATCAGCCAGCTGCCTGATAAACAGACAAATTAGTTCCAACCTGTCTGTGTCTCAGAGACACTGTCACATAACCAGTCAAAAAGGTACAGGACTTTGGAGATCTTTTAAGTGAATGCCATCACATCCGCAGTTTCATAGGAGTTCTCTCTTTTTCTTATGTACATTATGTAGCTTTTTCATTACAAATAAACACTCTTACCTTATTATTTGGTATAGGGTGTGTACTTGATCTTCCATCAGATGATTTTGATGTGGGGCACAGGCTATCGCTTAGAACTGGAGCCACCTAAGAAGTTTCACATAAACACTTATGAAAAATATATTGAATTTTGTCATAATCCCATCCAACAAGAAACAAGGCTACCATCCTCACTCACACAGTATGCATACTGTGACACTGCAATGCTGTGTTAGGAAATCTATGACAACTACTTCTGAATTTAAGTTTTTGTTGGGAGTACTAAACACATCCTGAGCGCAGAAAATTCTCTTTCGAGCCACAATGACAACAATTAATCAAATTATATTGGTTGTATTTCATTCATTTAATTAACAATTTAATTATATATTCCCTTAAAATATTAGTTCCATTGACTTCAGGAAGCTCAATACTTTCATGTATTTAGTTTTAAATACATATATTTTCAGAATAGCTTTAAAGCTTTTAACAAAACCAACTGTAGGCTTTTCAGGTCATATTAAAACTAGAAATATACCAAACAGAATAGGTACAGCTAGAAGTGTTATCAAACCACACTAGAAATTAGAAAGTAAGTGACACAGTGTTTTGTGTCATTTATCTGGGCTCACTCTGTCTTACTATGTTGTAGTAGAATATTAGTAAAGAGTACTAGGGTGGCATTAAAAGGAATAGAATAGTCATAATCTTTATCTTTCAGCATTGTTTTCTGATAAATTATGTTGAAGGCATAAAATAATATCATAGAGACTTGAAACAGTAATACTACAGCCATAACCAAGTGGTCTTAATTCAGGTTTTTTTTTCATCATTGAAATGAAAATGAATAAAGAATTATGAAGAAAGAAATTACATGTTAACACTACTTACTTCTCCACTGCCTGAAATCTTTTTCTGCTGACATTTTCTAACAACCTCCAACAACAGGGGACCACCCCCAGTACCTTCTGCTTCTGTAATTCCCAAATCTCGAGCTAAGTTTTCTCGACCATCAAGGCCATTTAGCTGGGGGTGGGGGGACAGAAAAAAAAAAAAACCCATTTAAAAAAATCACCACAACACAATATATATTTTGTCATATAACTCCTAAAGCTTTTGGGTCTTATTTAGCACAGCAATATTTTGACTAAAGAGTGATTATTTAAAACTTTCTGTTGCATGTGGACTGAAGTAATTATAGCCTACTGCAGCATCTACTTCTGTTCTGTACCTGAACTTATCACAGACCATCCAAAGTTGTTTTAAATATGCAAGTATCCATCATTAGAAAGATTCAGGATTTAAGGATTTATATGGTCAAGTTACTTTAGCCTATCACATTTGAAAGTGGATCCTAGGACACGTATCCAGTGGTTCCAGCAAATTCATAATTGATGGAGAGTCTCAATTCCTGTGCATATAGAAGTACACCAGCATAGGTCAATACTTAGTTTCAGTTTTTCACTTTAAGAAAAACATGGATGAAAATATTCAGTATCAGCCAAATAAAACAACCAACCCCCACAGGAAAAAAATAAAGAAAAATAGAATTTCTTTTCAAAACTGAACTTCATATTATAGCAGAAGCAGAATGCTGCAGCAAACCCAGGTTGGTGGGCATAACCTCAAAACGGCAATACTGCAGAGGGCACCAGTTCATTTTGAACTCTTATGATTGCTTAGTGACACTTCCTATCAAAACACTGGTCAAGCAAATACTGAAGCAAGCCACCACTAGTCAAGCACACCGAAACACAGAGGTTAAAGAGACAATACAACAGACAGCTCTGAGACAGGGGCTAGCAGAGGAAGACAAAGTAAAATCTTTCAGCACTCTACACGGTCACTATACATAATACAGCAGGTCTTAGCCAACTTGCTTAATTTGGCCAAATTTCATATATGCACAACAGGTGAAAAAGAGGCTTTTACTGGAAAAATGAAGGGAGTCTTTCAAAAAGCATGAGATGCCTTTTCAATGTGAATGAAACACTGCTCCCAAGGGTGACTGACAATGTGACAGAAAGCAGGACTGTTTCTGTTTGGTAGCATGAACATGAATCTTTTTACAGATGTGTCCTAGTACAATAAATGCAGCTAAGGATATCTGGTGAAGGACAAGAGTATATGGGATTTTCTTCAATTAAGCCATGGACTTCTGAGAAACAGTAATCAATTAACTTATTTAACAAAGTTGGGTTTCTAATAAATTAACTATTTAAACTGACATTAAGAATAAAAACGAGTATTTGAGATGTAAAGAGAAATTCTTTGGTTAAATGGAACTGCTTCAAACCCAAGTTTATTATTAAACCTTTATATTATACAAAGAGACAAAGGGACAAACATGATGAAAAACCTCTAACTCAATATCAAAAGCCTAAAAGGAATCAGTTGATCATTTTAGGTCCCTTCCACCTGAATTATTCTATTCAATCACCTTTTGTCATGTGCATCTGCACAAAGTCCTTTGTTTCACTGAAATTTCTCTCAGAGCAGATTACTGACATCGTTTTAATTTTCATGTAATGATACTACCTTAATATCATTACATAGTAAAACTATTAGCAAAAAATGTTGCAGGACTATTCTGTTGTATATACTGTCACACGATTTCACAAAAATTATTAAATTGTTAATTAAAAATTAACATATTATCAAGCCTTGATTTCTGATAAAGGGAATACTCTCTTATATTAGCACACTTTCCTGGAATATATGTCTTTATGGCAATAAGTACCTTTTACAGGCTAATATATAAAAAATTGTTTAGAATAAACACAAGCACGCAGCTTAAACAAATCTACTATAGCTTCTGTATTCATTGCCATGCACTCCAAACAATCAGCATAGCATAGCATAAAAATAAAACCAGTATATCTTACCGTGCTTGATTCAGGCTGAAAAACAGCCAATGTAAAATCAAGATTGAAAAACCGTAGAAATTCTGCAACGAGACCTGCTACCAAGCGACCTAAAAAGGAAATCAGAACAGTAAAAATACACCAGATGCAAACAATTCTTACTTCAAAGATTTAACATTCACACGGCTTCAGTGTGAACGTCTACACTGATCCAACACTCCTAGAAACATCATTCAGACATTCAGCAAACTACCACCACATAGTTAATTTGTATGCCGATTCCCTAATTTGTAACTCAGCCATCGTATACAAATTTTTTAAGGCAGCAATACTGCAGGAGCATAAGTAGAGATTGCTTACAAAATTCAGGTGTAAGATTTTTTTTTTTAAACTATTCAGCTGTTTTAAAGACATCATTTTGGCATTTCTCTTAAGTGTGCATTCACTACTGTACCCCTATGGTGACTTTTCACTGGTTACTGTTTCTATTGGTCTAGAATGCCTCCGAGTTAGCATAATCATAACTCATCATAAAATATTAATTTAGATGCATTAGTCATATCAGATAAAAATACAACTTCAGCAATATTAACTTCAAAAGTTATAGACTGAATTATATTCTGAATGAATAGTAATTATGACATTTGACAGGAACAAGTGTCCTTTACATCATGAGTCTTTTATAGCAGTACAGTCTTCAAAGATTTAATCTTTTATTTCATTTGTTTTATTAGAGAAGTATACTAAACAAAAAACTTACCATCTTTTGTACCTAAAAAACTTTTCAAGCTTTCATTTACCAGAGGTGCTTTGTTCTGTCAAAAAGCAAAAACCAAACAGTAATTAACATCATCCTTGTACTAGCAAGAAATTGAAAGCCACAGCAAGTTGGTATTTTGGTATATGCTGTTCCACAAGGATGCCTGGCACATGTAATTCACTTCTTCAAAATCTACCTTTGTATTAATTCTACTACCTACAAGTAAAAGCTGCAGAGCCATACATTTACCTAGGCAAATTAAAATTGTCTCAGCATTTCTATTATAAAAGATACAGAGCTAGAGTAATTTCGCCAAAATTCTTAATAGCACATTGAGTTTTATTTACTTAATGATTAAAAAGGTAAGTTAAGCAGCTAATGTCCCAAATTGCTCCTTTAACATAGTGCCAAGTTTGTTTAAGGAAATTCAGTCCCACTTCTTAAAAAAATGGGAATTTACGAGTCATCTATGCAAAGAGTGGACCGTGCTAATTACTGGTTCACAAGTCAATGCTAGTATTCTGTTAATTAAAATACCTTCACAGATATTATGAAAATGTTTTTTCTTCCCGTTAGATTTGCCCTCTTCAACTTTGATTTTTAAACAGAGATAAATCCATGTGCTATGTTTAGCTTTGTCAAAATTGTTCAGGGATTTTTCAAACCAAATTCTAAATGCCATTCCTAACATGAAAATATCCTGGGCAAGAACCTAACTCAAAGAAAAGGTATAAGTAAAGGTATTTATCACTATGGTCATAAATGCTAGCACACAGAAGAAAGTGCTGCATGAAAAAAGAAATATACCTTGCTTAATATTTAGGAATTCAGAATAGTGATAAGTATTAATATATTTCCAGTGTCTCTACAGTGTAAAATTAAAATATGACACATTTAAGTCTTTTGAAAAAAGGGTGAGCCGAGATCAACTGTAGCAAATCTCTCTTCAACCCTATTACTTTCCAGATAGGGTACTCTATAACATGATGAAGCTTCCTGTAACAGATGGCACTGTTTGCTATATCACTCTTCCATTATGTCGTCTTCATCAATCTGATGTTAGATTTCTCGAATATGGAATCTCATACCATAAAATAACTACTTCCCCTCCTTATTAACATCATAAAAATGTCGTTTCAGTTGCATAATTTTCCAGAAAGAGCACAACCATCTAACCAGTAAACAAATAGGACAGTTTTCCATTCCTCTCTTTTGAAACACAAAGCCTGGACATACAGCACCTTCTCCTCTCTAGTTCTAGAAAACTGAAAGACACAGGAAGCAAGGCTATGCCAGCAGTAGAAGAGGTCACAAAACTAGCACCTGCATACCACAGAAGTATTGTTACTTAATCACATTAGTATTACATACCCTTAGTAATAGTATATTATCAAGGTATCAATACCTAGTCCATCTCTTAATTCAGAATTCTTCCTTAAGTAAAAGCAAATTATCCTGAAGTAAGCCTACAACATCCTTACGAGAAACACCAAAAGCATTAGCATAGTTGGCAAGTTACTGCATTAAATTGCTTTCACAATACATTTGTCCAAAAAAACGCAGTATAATATTTTAAATTTCAAAACTCGTTATTCTAATTTAGAAAAGCTTGAACAGTCAGCTAGAATTTTAATTATTTTTTTTTTAAAAAGAAGTACTTGATGGAAAAGATATTTAGTTATTCCAGTCAATTGGACAGAAGCAGTATAACACCAGCAGAGACAGTAACTTAAAGCTACAGTTTCAAAAGGCTATGTAACAATTCCTATTTCTAAACATCAGGAAACATCCTGATAGTCCTGTTTTGTGTTCTTTAAGCATCACACTCTTATGCAGCAATACATAATTTTCTCTTGTTACATTTCACAGATAGAAAGTATTAAAGCTATTATGTTTAATTCTACATGAAGAAATATCAGGATGCTGATTTTTTCTTTAATTTATTTTTTTTAAGGTTCTCTTACCTCTACTTTCTCTTGTTCTTCTAATGCCAAAAACACAGCTGCTCGCAACTCTGCCTGCCAAAGAAAAAAAAACCAAAAAAACCCAAACAGTATTTCTACAAGCACTGTTTTCCCTATGTAAATAGAATGCAAAGAGCCAGCAAGTAGCTTAACAGCTATTTGTTTCTCCTCAAGCAATTTGGCATCGATTGTAATCTACATCAGTGCAATTAAAACACTTAAGATTACAGGCAATGTGACTTGAGGCTAAGAAAGAAAAGTTTTCAGTCTGAGAAAAACAAGGTGAGGGGTGGGATTTGATACAATTCCTAAATTATTTCATACACAAAACGATGCCAAATTACCTACATTATCTCCTATTAGTTTCTTCTGAGAGTCCAGCTCTTTCAGGCAGCTTTGAAACACCTACTCTTCATTTACAATTCATTCAGAAAACATGAACGAATACATTAAATTTTAAAATATATTATCACAAGGTTAAGATATACAAAAATCCTATGATTTCTTGTCAGAGCACACTCAAAGAAACAGAATTTCTCAAGGAAAAGAGAGCACAATTCCAGTCATTCAAATACTCCTGTAGTGAGGTTTTGCCTAACTGATTTTGCATACCTTAATATCAAGGATCAGAATTCTAAGGACTATTTTGAATATTTAAACTTAAACCTTGCCTAAGTTTTTTTGTTTGTTTAATACTACAGTTTCTCTACTTCTTTCATTGAACACATCAAATAGACAATGTATATTACGTTTGTTAAAGCAGTCTGCCACTTTATCAACTCTTAATCTGACATTTTGAAGTAGCCAGCAGATAACACTGAAGTGATAAACTATAAAAGACAGTGCTACTCTATATACCAGTTTTCTCAAAAGCAGAGAGGAAAGCAAGCTTTTAAAGAAAGATTGATTTCCATAACTAAGAATAAGAATAATACGAAGTGTCTGGATTTTCTCATGTACGTTACGAAAGGTAACTAAACATGGATTAGCCTGTAACTGTTCCCTCCCACACACAAAAAAAATCCTTTCATGGGAAAAATAAAATAAACACTTCCTTTTTCAGCATCATCATCTTTGGACACCTTTTTAGAGGGCAAAAGGTAATGAAAAAAAGTTAAAAATATTTCCTATTAAAAGAAGTGTAAAGTGCTTACCACAATTGTATGCAATGGTCACTGCAGCTACATTTTTTCAGGTGCTGGGGTACATCATTCAGCAATCCTCTTACAACCCATTAATTTAAGTATTATTCTTACAAAATCAGTTTACTTTTAACTTTTGGACCAATAGCTAACAACTTTACTTAGTCTTATGTCACTGACAAACTTCAAATGGTTGCAAGGCTGACTCTTTTCCACTGTTGCCGCAGAAACCAACTATACTCACATAAGAGGACAAGAAGAATAACAAAGCATTTGTGAAAGGGACTGGCTATTACAACTGTTCAAAATAAAAGACATCAGCCATTACATGTAGGTAGGGGTAAACCCCCTTAAGGGTCTGGATCCTAAGAATGTCAAACAAAGTTGTCTGAAAGCATTTGCCATTACATCAGCTGATCCAGAGTCTGACCTGTTTGAGATTTTGGAACAATATCACAACTGTCATTCCTTTTCACATAACTGTGTTTGCCTGCTCCACTCCTCTAGGTCCAACTCAGTGGCATTTAAATATGGACTGAGGTGCCTTTTTTTTTTTTTTTTTCCTCATTTATTTAATGACACAGTATCAATTTCTCCCAGATGTTGCCATTCCCTATTAATAGCAGGTTCACCTTTATTTCCATTAGTGCCCAATTAACAGTCTTAAGGTCAGGACCTCATCACCAGAGGATAACGCTACTGGCATTTACTACATCTCCCTTCGGCTTACCTGCATCATTTAGAATACCACCCTACAATCTTTCCACAATAAGCAGCCCTCCAATTGGTCCTTCAATCCTGACTTTCTCCACAAGGAAGGTTTACACCATTCCAACACACTGCCCTTTGTCCTTTGTCGTCGGTACTGCTCAGACCATAGGAAGATATTCTCAAAATATCATCCCAATAAATTCAGACACAGAACCAAACACTTGAATGTGTGGGAGGTTAAAGAAGTAATTCTCAAGTTCATGAGGAAGAAAGTAAAAAGCAACAATAACAAAGCTGAGGCCAGAGGAAAAACCATCCCAATACAAGGAGATGAATCATCCTACACAGTAGGATGGACAATGTCACATAGGCTTTGCAGGACCTGAGACAAGTCACAGAGAATTTGAACACCAGAGGCTGAGACCACTATCATCAGGTATGGTCACAGCACTTTGCTCCCACCAGCAGATATGGAGTCTTATAACACGGCATAGATTAATCCATTTACACAGTGTTCTCTCCCCCACCCCTCCTTTTTTTTTTTTTTTTTTAATAAGTGTGAACAGTTTGCACGTCTCTTTGCCCTAGTATGCTTTGGCACCAGCCCAATCTGTGTTCCATACATTGTAACAATCTGTTCTTGCCATCCCCCTATTCCACACTGCCTCATTCTGCTAGCAGTTTTCAACATAATCCAAATACATTTTGAAGAATTTTATTTACAGTCTAGAAGTAAAGCAGACCAAAGCTTGATACTCAACTTCCCCACCCATATCCTTCCTAAGTCTTCAATAAAACAGGGTTATGCCAATAGAGCCAGATGTTGACAAGTAAGATGCCAGTGTACATCTATCACTGGCATCCACCAAGCCCACAGGCTTCTTTCTCATCCTGTGGAAGCTGTCCATTCCCTTCCATCCCCAAGTAGTTTTATCAGGCAAGAGTTCATACCAACAAGAGGGCAATTTGATTTCACTGAACTTAGCTAAAACGAGTAAGGCTAATATTGTTTATGTCAACCGCTGCCTGTACTCAGTGGGGAAATGTATGGGTCAGTATTTTGAAACAAAGTTACACTTCCCATTTCCCTCCCAGGCATTTACAGCTCATCAGACAACACTGTCTCTTGCTGATTGCTGTTGTGCTATAAATCAGAAGCTGGTAGTTCATAAAAGCATCTTTTCTGCATTAGGCTGTAGTATCCCTCTTCAGAACCCTGACAAATTTATCCTGTTCTAAATGCAGAGCCTTTTGCATGTATCTGAAGTACTGTACAGAAAAGCAGCTCCCCAGGAAAGGGGTAAACAGTTCTTACTATCTAAAGAGCGCATCCCAAACACATTTCTTAGGTGGCATCTCAAAAACACCAATCTGATTTGGGAATATGCTCTTAATAGTAAGATAACAAGCACCTACCTTAACAAGGTTATTAGTCTGATTTAGTACACTTGCAAAAGCCATCCACAGCAGCTCACATAGCCAGATGCTGGATGAAAAGTAAAAAGGTAAGACAGAGACTGTCCAGGACTGAAGGATGTCCCGTAGCCTTTAACTACCTCCCACTTGCAGACTCCATCACACAGGTATGCAGCATATCCCTGGAGTTTTCTTTTATTGTGGCATTTGTCTTTTATTGTGCTAGAACACATTTGTCCAGCACTTAAACAAGACAGCTTACTGTACTAGGACAAAATTTGAGACAATATTTTCCAATGGGAAAGCACTTGGGAACTTCAAACTCATTTCTATGCCTCAATCCTGCAGGCACATCAGTGACCAAGACAACTTCTTTTAATAGGCACTAAGCACAAACTGTGGATAAGACTTATTCCTTCCACACTGGTCTCCTTTGCACAGCTACACAATTCACTTGCAAACATCCTGTTAACAAAACTTCTTCCAAAGATCTCGGCAAAATTATTTTTAGCCCATCAAACTCTATTCATACTTTCTACTCCTTCGGCAATATTTTAGATGAACAAGCAATGGCTTCACAACACTGACCTCAATATGTTGTGGAATACTAGATCTAAAAGTGGTCACCTTAATTTTATAAAATGCTTTGTACACATAGTACAGCTGAGTATGACATTGTCTGCTAGCTGACAAAGCCTTGCTGTCTGTTTCATGCATCTTTCAACATCATTTCTACAAACCCTTAGAGTCCTGCAGCTTTGGCAGAGGAAGTC